CAGACATTTCAGAATCACAACTAAAATATGTTTAAAGTATCGATCCGAACATTCAACTTACGTGTAGACAACAACAAACAAGAAAAATTAGATCGCTGCAACGCCATAGATGGTGAATGTAAAACACATTGCGGGTGGTACGACGTCACAAACGGTTACAAACCAAGTTGGAATACAACCTTCCCTTGTCACGAAACAAAGTGTTAAGCATTCCGATAATTCACTTCATATGAAAACCGCACGAATCTGAAAACTCTCGGCGCAATGCCTTTTCATCGTGAAGAACAAAGTCCGGAAAGGGAAATAATTAGAGACTCTTGTCAAGTCCTCTGTTATAACGCATTGCTTACTTGATCATTCGTTCAGCCAGCGCTGTCCCCCCCCCCCACCCCACCCCTGACACTAATCAACTCATGCTGGAGGTGACAAAGTGTGTGTGGGGGGGGGGAGAGAGGGAGACGGGACGACAACGGTGGCCCAAGGTCCCGCGTGAGCACCACGACTATCCAACATGGCGAACACATGAGCAGAGGAGACAAGACCGACATGGGGAAATTTGTTTATATTCTATCCCTGGTGTTGTTGTTGTTGTTGTTGTTGTTTTGTATATTACCTCCCTTGCCCATTCTCACCCATCATTTTTCTATCCGTGTTTCATCTCATCTTTTGTGTCCGTACATGTTTTGTTAAGTGTTCCTCTAAATAAATAATGGTATGGTTCTCGAGGTCAGTCGCTGTACGCTTCGTTTTCAAAATCCTAGATTCCCATAATGCGTAGTGCATTGGAGATACGTAGTGCAACAGGACCAGTAGACAATTAAAGAGTTTAGCTAAGCCCCGGATTTACTTATTTTCTCTTGTGGATGTTTTTCTTTTTTTTTTTTTTCCTTTTTCCCTTTTTTTTTTTTTTTTTTTTTTTTTTTTTTTTTTTTTTTTTTTTTTTTTTTTTTTGGGTGGTGAGAAAAGGGGGTTGGGGGGTCCTGGTAGTTCGGTTTTGCGCCCTTAATCTTCACAAACGTGTGATCACGAGCAACTTACTTTAAATAACAATACAGCTCAAAATGCGATATTCATACATGACCGTTCGTGGTAAAGGGGAGAAGGAAGTGGCTTAAGGCACGCAATGTCTCAGCGAGTGATAGATTTTATTAAGTTCTTCCGAACTGGCTTCACGGGTCGAAGCAGACATCTACAGGTGATAAAACAGCCCAACAAGCAAACAGCCAAATAAGCAAACATCCAAACAAGCAAACAGACAAACAAGCAAACAAACAATAACGAACAAACTTATACGGTTTTTTTTTTCTTTCAAACTTTAAAAAAAATATATCATCATCAACATCAGTGGCACTACAACCCATGTAGGGCTCTGGCCTGCTCCCACACATCCTTCCATTTGGATCGATCCATGGTTGTCCGGCTCCATGCGCGGACCTTCTTTCTTTCTTCTATAAGTTCTCTCATTTGCATGCGTCATACCGTCCTGTTTTTTTTTCCATGTCTGGTTAAATCCCAATGTTTCCTCTATTACACTTATAACAATTCTCCTCATTATTTTGTCCCATATCGCATTTATACTGATTTTGTTTGCCGTTTCCCTTTTGGATAATTCTAGTTGAGTTTGAATCTTCTGTTGATCTGTCTCAGTAATTTTTGGGTCTCTTCTTAACTTCTGGCTAGTGCACTGTCTTTCTCTTTCATTTGTTCCATTGTGGATGCCACAAATTCTTTGTTTAAAAATTATTTTTACAAGTATATAGTCTGAATCAAGGCCTGCCCCTCTAAAGCTTCGTACATCTTATATCTCGCAGCCATGTCTCCGTTCAATGAGTAAAACATCTATTTGGTAGTTAACGTGTAAAACCATTAGACCAGGGGTCTCAAACTCGCGGCCCGCAAGACGACATTTTGCGTCCCGCGACATGACAGCAAAGTTTAGTGTTAATGCGGCCTGCGCGTTTTCCCCCTTCTAACATCTATAATGTGACCATCCGCGACGGTTTCAGTCAAATCTCACCGACTGGTATAATTCTGATTTTTATTATGTTTTTAAAGATTTGGACGTTTATTATAATGGTCAAAACCGTTTTAAAATCGGACAAAAAGTTTTTTATTTGTAGCATTTTATGCGACAAACAAGGCCAAAGTGCGGTTTTGAGAAAACACGATTCGAATAGTATTTATACATATTTCAAAATTTTAAAAAGTCAGTTAGAGGGTAATGCACAACCATAATTGTGTACATCGTAGCGATCTGACACAGTATCAAAGAATCCCTATTCAAATTGCCGCTAATGTTTACGAGTGAGCGAAATTCCGAACCTGTCAGCTTGGTCACTTGCGCTGTCAGGTCTCTGGCAACAAGCAGTAAGAGAAAGAAAGTGAAGCCTAGTTCTTGAGAACCCTTAATGTTTTTATTTGTTAATACTAGAGCTTGATCAGATGGTAACAGTTGTACTTTGTTGAATTTGTAATCGCTTGTTTTTATTGAATACTTAATGCGGCCCAGTCTCAATCAGACTCTGCCTCCTGCGGCCCCACGGATGATTTCAGTTTGAGACCCCTGCATTGGACAATATCCATGTCGCTTGTATGTATTTGTCTGAGTGGGAATATTGTGCTGTTGATCGTCATTCCCTTTTCCTGTTGCGAAAGCCTTAAACGCGCGCTCCGTTGTCATTGCTATCGTCGTGCAGTCTTTCCTTCCCGGTAGTTGGTCTGTAGGCAGATTTCTCTGCAGATTTTAGCGTTGAAATCTCCAAGGACTATTTTGTTATCATGGCATGGTGCCTCATCAAATACTCTTTCAAGCGTTTCGTGAAAGGTTTCCTTAACGCTTTCATCTCCATCTCCCGTTGGAGCATGTGTGCAAATTAACGTCATGTTAAACATATTTCCTCGTATTCTCATGGAGCATAGCATAGCCTTTCATTCACTGGTTTAAACCCGGTGACTCCATTTGCCGTCTCTCTTTTGACTGCAAACAATGATCCTAAGAGGTTGGCGTTGTTTCCAATGTAGAATATTGGATACGCTTTGGTACTTAATATAATCGAGTGTTACACACACTGGCTTCTATTGTGAGAACTTAATCTCTTATTTTAATTGTATGGCTCGTTCAAAACAGTGCATAACCAAAGGACGAGACCATAGAGAATACAATAGTAAAGATACGACACTCAAAAACAGTACTAATTACAATTAATAATATTTATTTAAGTAATTGCAAGACAAAAGAAAATATAATTACAAATCATCAACTTACAGAGTATGGGAAAATCTTGTACCGGTACACAAAAAGTACAATGTGCCAATTAATAATGATGAATGATGAATCTGAATAAACACATATACGTACACAAAGAATAATACACTTCTCGTGAAGTTAAAAATATATATCAATCTCCGTCTTCTCTCTCCGTGTCTTTTAATCCCTTTATATATACAGCGTAAGCACTGCCTTCAAGAAACTACTCAGCATTTGTTTACGTTTCTAGAACAAATCGCGATCATTCCACAACATACTAGGAGACAGACTAACCATGTTTAATTGGTAGTCGGTAGTAAACACGACACATCAAAAGACTAAGCCACGCCCATCTATGAACGTAGCGTGTCCTAGGAATCGAATTTGGGGTCAAGCAAAGTTCACGCACAGGGAAAAGTGTCTTATATAACACGAGTCTTTCCATCTTAACTCCTGCAGTGCAGTGTAAGTGATTAAATGCCTTATGAATTCGTCATATAGGTGTGCCTGCATTCCTGCTCCGTGTAGACTAAGAACATTCCAGGTCGCAATCCATAATTCATGTCCGTGTCCTTGCAAATGTCTAGATCCAAAAAATATCAATTCAATTTTTTTTTTTTTTTTTTTTTTTGTAAAATTGAATTTTTTAAACATAAAATTTTTGTCAGCCTTTCGTACAACCTCTGAGTCCAGGTCCTTAGTCTTTGTGGATCCCTCCACTATCTACAAAGAAGTTGTTTCTTATTTATCTCCCCCTCGGTTATTTTATTTCCCGGCCACCCACCATATCTGGTGTGCTTTCCCTTATCCGCCACCCAGGGAGGCGTTCGATTGAAGATCAGCATTTCCTTTTAAAAAAAAAATTAAAATCAATGCGAAATACATAATCGCGATTCAAATATTTATAGCATGTGCATAAATCACGATAATGAATCAATGCATACCAGAAAACACCAATTTTTTGCATTCGGCAAATAAAAATAAATCTGTGACCATTTAAAACAGAATTTCATGCACATATTAAAATTGCATTTGTTTGCACTTAGCGTGGAATTTATTAAATACGTCCCACTCGTTATTACCCGAAAACATATGGCTGCTTTTATTGTGTACTTTCCCCACCCTTCAACTCCTTCGCTGCCCTCAGACCTATGAGCACTTCGCTCAGCCCCGTGCTATCCCCCACCCCCAACTGCACTTACCCCATCTCCATCCACGTCCTGCCCTCTCCCATCTTATTTCCGTAACAACCATCACTCAAATCCCCCCTCATCCTGTTTTCAGTCTTATGGAAATCAAAATAGTGCAAATGTGGGCATTTTATTTCACACAGAGTGCAGCTATTGTGAATGCCTGCTCTCCTACACTCAGACATATGATATACACAAATTCAGATCACAATGTTACAGTGACGTATTCTCTTGGCCAGCTTTGGAAACCTATTTTTTTTAAATTCCTATAAAACATTATTCCATTACTTCTGTTATTGATTTTTTGTCACCAATTAGCTATAGTTTACCATTATATTTACTTCTCCTAGACGACCCGCCAATGTTTAACTTTGCTATCGATTTTGCCGTTTCAAAAACGATCCAGATCTTTGAAACGGTAGGCAGGAGACCAAACGGCCGACATTACCGCCTTTTTTTTTCTTCATTTCTATTTAATTTATCTCAGAAATAAAATTGCACAAGGTTTCGCATACGTGAGGATTTTAAACATATAATTGTGAAATCCCCAGATTTGGGAAAAGATTCAATTGTAGTGTCGTTTTAATTAAATACGCAAAATTGTGCGAAACTTTTATTTTACTACCATGAGAAGATAACTCTGATCAAATTCTGAACGAAAATGGCACCCGTTGATCCTTTTACACTATACGCTGTAGCAGCTGTTGCTATATTTATAATTATTTGTATTGTAACTATTGTATCAAAATTTAATTCATGTAAGTTTATTTCATTATAACGGAAAATGGCACAGATTTAAGGCTTAAATGGAGTCTAATAAAGTTCTGGGCAACTAAATCTTTGTTTTTGGTTACGCCACTTTGGGACACACTCTTCCCACTTTTTTAACTTTAAATTTAGCCTAATAATTTTATTTTACACTTTAACTTTATTATAGTGGCAGTGTCTAAACATCCGGCGATCGGACAAATAGTGGGGTAGATATTCATCCGGGGGGCATGTCTAAATGTCTAGCTTTATTTACTGTTCATTGTCACTTTTCATTGTCCAGACTATATTGAATTTGTTGAAATGAAGTAAACTCTGATGGCTTATCAACGGCCATGTGAAAAGGCTGATGGACAAGTATTATTGAAATTTTTGAGCAACTTTGTTATGGCAGTCATGTGACTTGGTCGAATATATAATATTGGGACTAATATCTCAAGAACTTATTCGTCCGTTTGCCAGACATGTAGAAACTTCACATTATAATATAGGCATACTATGCCTAAAAATAAAATTGTATGACTATAAAAAGATATATTATAGACGCCCTAGACCTCTTCTTCTTATATATGAGGGGCCCACGATCAATTTGTTGATCATTCTGGCTCCTGGTTTGAATTCAGAGTTTGCATTCTCTTAGATGGGTTGCCGTCCAAGGCTAACAAGTCCCATCCACAGGGGGTGCTTTGGGATGTTGGCTTTGATGGGGATTGAACACCAGACCACCATCTATTTGGTTTGAGACAGTTTAGACTGCTCGGCCACCCAGCTCACCTACTTAAAACATTGACAGTTATTACATTGGTCAGGCTATTCTCCTCATTATAAATTAATTCTGGTAATCTACCACTTCAGCTAATAGTATAGTTTCAGATGCCTTTGAAATACAGTGTATCCCATATGCTGGGTCCTTACCCAGTACGAGGTGCAACAAAAGCATTAATACTTGGTTCATGAAATAATTCTTGAAAACCTAGGTATTTTTGGGGGAAATTTGTTGCTTTTTGTTGCATAGGAAATCCAAAACGTAATTAGCATTAAAGCGGAACTAGCATGGCAAATGTTTAGGTTAATAAATAGGATCTGATAATTAAGTTATCATCGTTTTTCTCCAAATCTGTTTAACAAAAAACAAAAAAACAACAAAAAAAAATGGGAATCAAAGTTCTTATTATTTATTGAGACTAACAGGTTTCTGTTTGATTACTTTACATTTTTGTGAAATGCTTTTTTTTACTGAAATGTATAAACTAAGGAAACGCTGGTCTATGACATAAGATATAGTAATTTTTCAGGGCGAAAGATTTTAAAATAAACAAAATAAAAACTAGTAAATCTTGCCTAGGGCCTAAATTTCATATAGTGATTTTTAAACATTTTCTTTAGTCTAAGGGCCATTGGTAGAAAAATTTTGAAACCTAGTCTCAGGGTAATTTTTATACCTAATAAAAAGTCTTTTTTAATTTAAATTTTAAGAAAAAAAATAAAGAGCTCTTACTGCTTTAATCTCAGCTTCAGAAAAAGATGTCAAGCCACCAAGAAATGCCCCCATACCGGCCCAAATCGCTCCTGCAAGACAGGGACCACAAGGTGTTAGAAGAAGGGTGCGTGGAGCAAGGATGAGAGTTGAAGAAGATGACTCAGGTGATAATAAAGAAAAGCTCTTTTTTTTCCTTGAATTTATATCTTTAAATCTCTGATTTTCTTACACATATTTATTAATGATATAACCAAAATCTTTTAAATTATTTTGAACAGTTCAGTATGAATAGATTTTATATTTAATATCAGTTGTTTAAATTATATCATGTATGTTATTATTATTATTATTTTATTTTTTTTCAACAAACTCATTTCTGGCTTTGCAAGAAGAATCCAATCTTAAGCAGGTTATCAGTTTTTACAATGATTTCTTAACTGCTCCACACAGCAAGGTCAGACTGTTATTACCAGTTGAAATCTCTTTTTAGAACTGTCAAAACAACTCATTTTGAGAACAAAGAAAACAAAATTAAGATGATTAAATTGTCATCCATTTGCAGATGCAGAGGGTGATGAGGATGCTCCTGATATTCCCGAAGTTGAAGGAAAAGTTGGTGCTAAAAAGATGAAAAAACTCCAGGAGAAAGCTGAAAGAAAAGCTATGCGAGAAGTATGTTACCACAGTGCAGTCAGTTGTTCATTTCTTTATGAGTCAAGTCAAGCTTAACTTTTATATGGAAACTAAACATTTCCAGGATTTATTAATTTTTTTTATTTCCTGTTCCAATGACCAATTGTTTGTAAACCCATGTTGAGACAAACAGGTGGACATGGGATTCTCTGGCTGTGCATTATAATATATTTTTGGCCCTGTGACAGATAAAAGATTTTCATTCATACTGTCACTTCCAATTTTAAAAAAAAATAAAAAATTATTGACTCAACTGGTATTTTTTAATTTAGAACTTTTCCATCCCCTTTATGGTTCTTTAGCACAAAAAGTCGTTTTTTTAACCTTGAGATTTCAATATTTTATAGAATTTTTTTTATTTCTAATTTTATAGACTTTACTAGGATAATTGTTTTTATTTTTTTGTTTCTGTTCACATTTTGCTAGTCATAAAGAATGCAGTTTTTTTTTAAGAACTTAATATTTCAGAATGATAATAATAATATAATAACTAAGCTTAAAAATTTAAGAAAAAAATTTATGTCAAATTTTAAAGAAAAAAAAAATTATGTTTTATTAATTTTCTCTACCTCTAATTGCTTTTTTTTAAAGCAAGAAGAACGAGACAGGGAGGAGAGAAAGAAGAAAGAAAAAGAGCTAGAAGCACAGCGCAAGCAGCAAGAAGAAATTGCAAAACAGGAAGCTGCTATCCTGGTAACCATTGTATTGTAATGTTAAACACTTTTGGAAAATGTTAATATTAACATCATACCTGTCACAAATATGAATAAATGGGAGATAAGGAATATGGTAGTTATTTCTTATACAATATACAGAGTATTGGGACTTGAGGAGAGAAAACTGGCCAATGAGGGTGGAGAGTGAAAGTGAAACAATGGGGGAAGTTGAATAAAAATGGATTTTTAATCAAGAAGTTTGTATGAGAAGATTAAACAGAGGTCGTTGATGTTTTAAATGAAGATTTATAGTGTGTTGAAATGTTATCAAATAAAGAAGATTACCCAGAAGTTAGTAATTGAAATTCATATGATAAGTTCCGTTTTCGGATTTATTTTTGTGAGAATTATCTTTTATTGTGAATGACCTTGAATTAGGGTAATAAAACGGTCCCTATTTGAACCTCTGGCCTCTGGTATGATTTATGACGAAATTGTGTAGTGACAATGCCTTCATTTTCTATAGGGGTGTGCCGGATCCGTTTTTTCCAACCGGATCCGGATTTTCTTATGCGAAATCCGCCGGATCCGGATTCCGGTTTCTCCCGTATTCCGGATTTTGGTACTATTGGTAGATACTTCGGTAAGTCAAGGTGGACTACTACTTTTTGTGTATGGGAATTCGCAATCGGCGCCAAAAAATCCGAGTTTTTAATTTTCCGATGTGTGTGTCTATTTATTATTAAATTAGTACTTTCGATATATATTTGAGTTCCGTTCCATTTGGATAAGTGTCTTACGAGAGACGCCATGTTTCTACGCGTTCGCAGCAGGTCATGCAGCTCGCTCAACCTAATTTCGCCATGGGGTTGGCCACGCCCCCCTTTTTAATGGCGGAAGTTGACGATACTTAGGAAATATTAATTTATTATCACTATTTACATCAAAATAATTGATAACTTGTGTTTCAGAATGCATTTAAAGACATTTAAACTGGAATGTTTTAATTTGAGCTTTAACAACCCGGTAGAATCCATATTATAAATGATCAGAATTTACCGTGTGCAACACGTTGTCATTGGCAACCATTCACAGCCACTTGCATAACTGTATCGTAGTACTACCTCAGAGTTTCATTCATAAGAGTTTGCCGTGTGCAAAAACTATTAAACCATTGGTCAGGGAAAGCTTTAATTAATTATTCATGTGCCAAAGTTGAAAGTTTAAACTAAGTCTAAACAGTATTTTAGTGATAAGGCAGGGAATGCGTTGCCTTATATAAACTATATAGTCATTGCGCATGACGGGATTGGTGGAATGAGATCACAGAATGTGGAGATGCAGTCCATGTTAAAAAATGACAAACCAAGTCGTACTTTAAAAATTCATAACTTTAAAACTACAACAGCTAAAAATATGATTTTGGTGTTATAATTCTTTAAAAAATTACATCTTTTCAACTATGCCATTGGTTTATTTTTACAAAAAGTTTAAATTTTCTTATCAAAGTCCCTACACTATTGGCCACTATTAGCGGTGCTGACTCTAGCCTCTGGTATGTACGGAATATTAAACATTAAACAAGCTCAACGCTCGAAACAATCGATTAATGTATCGTGATCGTGTGGAATTCGGGAAAGAGAATTACTTTTATTTCAGATTATGATCCGGTGAGTCACAAAATCTGGCAAATTCCGAAATCCGGTATATTCCGGATTCCGGAATCCGGTTGTTCCGGATACATGTAAATCCGGCGGAACCGGATTTCACCGGATAGTGCAAAATCCGGCGGAACCGGATTCCGGACCGGGGTCCGGCACACCCCTAATTTTCTATAAAGTGCATTTTGCTGACCAAGTTAACACATGGTCACATATGGTATATGCTTGATTGTTTAAATCATGAGCCAGCCCCCCCCCCCTCCTCCCTCCCCCTTAAGATTTGGATGAGGAAAATCTGAAAAGTGAATAACCCGCTGATAACCTAAATCCATAAAACAATATGCCAGTGTGAACTAGACGGTTTCAAAGTATATTGAGGATGATATATTGGCTACTTCTTTGTTTTTATGTTATGCGTTTAACGAAATGTGAAAGTGATTGAATAAAAATTTGTTTGTTCAAATTTTTTTTTTATTTCAGGGAACATATTAATTAAATTAAAAATTCATGAAAGTGCAGATTATAATTTTTCAAGCTTCTGGTAATATTTTCAAAACTTGTAGAGGGTACTTTAGACTAGGACATCAGTGACATACCTACTATAACAATTTAATTATTCATTTTCACCTGGAGAAAATTTTGAAAATCCCCTATGACCCCCCTCAAAAATTGGGCACCCCACTCAATTAAAATCCTGAAACATTTCAAAACAAGTTGGCTTTAGAATCAGCATCTGTTTTAAAATTTTTGTTGGAAATGATTTGAAATAGTTTCTTTTTTTATTTAAATATTGTTTATCCTTAGCATGGGATGATTACCAAGGGTTTATTCAATAATGAGTATGCAGGGGACTTGTCAGTCCTATTTGTACCCAGAGAGCTTACCTGCATGTAGGATACACATGTTTTCAGGTCCTGTTAGGATTGGAGTAGATTCTGTTTTTTTAATTGCTGTGTGCTTTCTTTGGGTGTTAGCAGTGCATTTACTCTCAGAGGATTGTACTCCCAACAGTGAGACCGCCTCGCCAGCTTTTACGATCCATGGCAAGTGTTGACCACAAATTTTGGTCCATGGATTAAAGTGAATTTTTTATCCAGTTTTTTTAACATGTCCCTTTGGAGATTTTACTGAACATTAGTTGTTTAGGAAGTCTGCTGTGTGGCATTCTTGTAACAAGCCCCTCCCATTCGGTTTGTCCTTTTTGTAGGAGCATCGGCATGCTGATCAAGTCAACCCGTTGTAGGACTTCTGCATCTCTTCTGTTGACTGTCCTGCCACCTTAAGCCCAGAAGTTTGCATAGACAGATTAGGTCACTGTCCAAGCCAGCATATTGCAAATTTTAATATAATACAATTTAAATAAGTCAATTGTCAACATTCTTTATTAATATCATTATTTTAAAAGTTTCTGATTTTTTCCCAAGGAAGAGGAGGAGAGAAAAAAGAAAGAGGAACAAGAGAGAATAGAACATGAGGAATACCTAAAAATGAAGGAAATGTTTTCGGTGGAAGAAGAGGGTGAAGCAGACCAGGATGCTGATCTAAATGTAAGCAGGATTTGTACAGAAAATCTGATCGGCTTAGGAAGGAATTTTATATTCACTTTTAAACTAGCCATATCTGATTACAACTACTTGTGTACAAAAATGACAAATGGTTATATACCTTTGACCAAGAAAAATGGATCAGATATGAAGCTAATTAAATTATGTAGAGTTTTCATCAAGATCACAGTTGTTATTTAACTGTCATTTAAAATATATAACTGTGCATTTCATTGATCAAATAATTTTTTAACGAAAACCTTGTGTTTGTCTTGATATCAGAGTGTTCAATTATTTAAGTTATTTTAAGTTGCAACCTACTGATAAAAAGTTTCTCGTAAACTATATCTCCTTTATACTTTCACCTTTCTCAGAGTGAATCTCTACTGGGAAAGTTCATCACATACATCAAGGTAATGTTTGAATGCGTTTCTTGAGTTTATTTATTTATTTTTTTTTCTGTTGCTGTAGTTATTCAAAGCATTTTAAATATGTATCTCTCAAAACAGAGGAGAAGACTGACATTAATACAGCTTTGTGTTGGGAATTTCCATAAAGCTAAACTTACAAGGGGAAAAGCTATGTTAAGATTGAAATTATTTTCTGTGTTTTACTTTAAATATTTCTGTGCGTCACTTGTTAAGTGCATTGGTATGTATGATATGCAGTATAATCTATAAACTACAATAGTAAAAATATAGATGCAGGATTTTTCTAAGTGGTTATTTAACATGATTTAGTGGAGGTTATATAACAGGGTTTATGCACTAACCCAAGTCCGTGGAAATGCAGCCAGTTTTTTTATCACAGATTGAATTCTTAAGTTTGAACCCTCGTGCTGTTAAGTCCAAACCTCATTTTTGTCTGTGACTCTTAAAATAGAAAAATATTATTTAAAAAAATAACAACATAAAAGTAATATAAAAATGTGTGTAGAATCATTTCATGGAGTGAAACCTTAAATTGACATGTATTTTACTGTGTGTAGGTAGACTCTATATAAGTTGAACACTATGGTCTAATAAATAGAAACATGGTTTCAGATAAATTTCTTAGTGAGCTCTCATAGTTAGCACACAAAAATGTTCCCCTCTGTGATGTTAAAATAATCAAGACACCCACAAAGATATAAAAGTTTGCTAAACACTGATCAGGAACTGGAGTCTTCACGGAAACCTCCACATTGTCCAGTACTTTGGTCATTAACTAGGGAGCATCCTGTGTTACATTGAGATTACTCAGTGCTAAACACTGCACGGGCAATGTAGAACAAGTGATGTTCCTCATCAGGTTAAATTCATTAAATTTTGTTTTTTTTTAATTAAATAAATCCCAGGAAACCAAGGTGGTAATGCTGGAGGATTTGGCCGGCCATTTTAAACTCAATGTTCAAGATGTCATCCAACGGGTCCAAGACTTGCAGACAGAGGGACGCCTGACGGGCGTCATAGACGACAGGGGCAAGTTTATTTACATCACCATGGAAGAGCTGGAGGCGGTGGCCCGTTACATCCGACAAAGCGGGCGGGTCTCCATCTCAGACCTGGCCGCCTCCAGCAACCGCCTGATCAATTTAGATCCGGAGACCTCGTCGATAGCTCTGAAAATGGCGACCGAAGTGACGGAAATGGTGGGAACGGAAGAAGTGGCTGTGAATTAATTCAGTTTGCTACAGGTGTAACTTATTCTCTATCTATGTTAAAATTATGCTAAAAGTAAATATAATGTTATATATAATTGAATGTGCCTGTTTGATTCATTGTTGATTGGATGTAGGGAAATATTGAAAGTAAAAGGAATGAGAAAAGAGTGAAATCATTTGCTCCACAGTGGCAACATGTAGACATCTAGTCATCTAGTTAAATTTGTTCAGAATATAGGTAAAAATACCTTGATTTAAAAAATATATAATATATATATTTGGACTAATTAGTGACTAAACTATTACTTCCCAGCCTGCTTTTGATTTTTTTCTCTCATGGCGATATTGCCCTAACAAAATCTGATCTATTGTATGGCACTATATGAACATCTTGTGCACGCAGTGGAATTTTACCCTAATGAAATCTGATCTCATTAATGGCACTGTGTCAATGACCTGTCTCAGCCAGATATCACAATGACATGACTGAGAGCCAAATCTTGGTTTCCAAACTTCGATCTTAGCTGAATACCTGAGAAAAGAATTTATTCCCGACTGGATGCTGCAGAAAATTAGTTTTTGAACTAACGGTACCAGAACTTAGGCAAATTTGCTCACACCTGGTGATTTTGTTAGATAATTGTTAACCTTTAATTTCATTACCGGGTAGCCCTTGTTTACTTGTTAGGAAAAATGTGCTGAAAGGGTTGGAGTAATACTATAGGGCCTACATTTTTTTTTTCATTTTAAAACCCAATTCGAGATAGTTACAGGTTATCTCCAGGTTATCTCCCTTAAACCGTTTGTGAAAAATGAGTTCATGAAATCAGTTGAAAAGTGACACACTACAAGTACAAGTCACAGGTGGAAAAATATTAAGTCATTAAAATTTACCTTAATTATTTTTCTTGGAATTAATAAAGTATGGTGAGTACTTTTAAAGAAATCTTAAAATAGTCATAGGTTTTAAAACGTAATTCTGTGCCTGTGTTTTCCACACACACACAAAAAAATGAACCTAAATTAGTCATATTAAAAATTCGAATCTGATTAATTAATTAAAATCTTAAGTTCAACAAGAAGATGATGATTACCGGGTGTAGCACTCTTGGTGTACTTGAAGTGAACGTCTGTGGAGACCAGATGAACTTTTATGCAGCGGTGAGCAATGGTGAGTACATTTCAGGACATTCCCATCAAAACAAGAAATCCTTCGGGGTGACAGGTCAGAAATACTTAACACCCGCACAGATGCGTGATTTTTTTGTGGTATTATAATTATATTATGTATTAACTGCATGCTGTATTAGCAGTCACATGTAGAAAGAGTTTGTGCCACCCCCCCCCCNCCCAAAAAAAAGAAGAAAAAAAGGTACATGAAAAACACTACAGCCGGCCGAAAATGTCGCCCATCCATATAAAGATAAAAAGTGTCGCCTAGGGAAGGACGGGACCCCCCCCCCTCACACTCACCTTCCAACGCCACTGGTCATACGTAAGTCATATACTATATAGGGGCCTACATCATTGTCAAAACTGTCTTATTTTCTCTCTCTCTCTCCTTCTCTCTCTCTCTCTCTCTCTCTCTCTCTCTCCTTTTCTCTCTTTCTTTCCCGCCTTTCACTGTTTGGATAAGAACTTTATGAAACAATCTCCTACACCGTTTTTTTTTTTTCATTGAGAAAGTCGACTCTCTGGACCACCTATCCCCCCACGCCGCACCGCAAGCCTTCATTATCTGTTTTCTCCATCTCTCTCTCTCTCCCTCTCTCTCTCTCTCTCTCTCTCTCTCTCTCTCCTTTTCTCTCTTTCTTTCCCGCCTTTCTCTGTTTGGATAAGAACTTTATGAAACAATCTCCTACCCCGTTTTTTTTTTTCATTGAGAAAGTCGACTCTCTGGACCACCTATCCCACCACGCGGCACAGCAAGCATTCATTATCTGTTTACTCCAGACTGCGACTCTTTCTCTACTATTAATTAGCATATCTGGAACAGCCCAAGGCCACCCACAGATGGTTCTGCTTTTGGTGTTGTCCCGTGCTTGACACCACTCACTCTTCACGTCACCAATCTTGTTGTGTGTGTGTTTGGTTTATTGACATACTCTCCGCTGCTTTTTTTTGTGTGTGTGTGCTGGTTTTTGACGCCAGCGCAAACCGTGTGGTTCGATCGTTCAATAACATTCGTTGAGTGAAAATAATAATCTGACTGATGCGTTCTGTGTGGTCTTCCTCTATAGTATAGGACCACTCAACATTTTCTTAGCCATGAGTTTCTTCTTTTTGTAATGACTAATGAAGTATTGTGGAAGTCTTGTGGGGGGGGGGGGGGATCTGTATCCGTGCTTTACTCACTGTGACATATTTGAAGAACATGTAGGTAAAGAGAGATGCATCATTTAACTTCACTTTTAAAGTCCTTGTGGACAGATTAGTTTGGCACTTTTTATATATTGGTGACGAACGTTCCACTTTGTTGTCACTCTTTAGTTTCTTAAATAAAATGGTGCAAGAAACACACACAAAGCCAATTGTTTTGCTTTTTCCTTTGGCATTTTTCTATTCAATGATGACACTGATTGATGTGTCGCAATTCAACAGAAACCGGCTTCAACTTTCATAAAAGAAATTGTATTGTGTTGATCGTTTGATAAGGCACTTGACAACAATTCTGTGTGGATCATCTTATAAGGCACTTGACATCTGTGTGGATCATCTGATAAGGCACTTGATATCTATGTGTTGATCATCTGATAAGCCACTTGACATCTGTGTGTGGATCATCTTATAAGGCACTTGCCATCTGTGTGTTGATCATCTGATAAGGCACTTGACATCTGTGTGTGAATCATCTTATAAGGCACTTGACATCTGTGTGTGAATCATCTTATAAGGCACTTGACATCTGTGTGTGGATCATCTGACAAGGCACTTGACATCTGTGTGTGGATCATCTCATAAGGCACTTGACATCTGTGTGTGGATCATCTGATAAGGCACTTGACATCTGTGTGTGGACCATCTGACAAGACACTTGACAACATCTCTGTGTGGATCATCTGATAAGGCACATTTTTCATCAATAGGCCCACGTGCATGGCTATTTCAGCTTCATTGCAACTATGATTGATGAGCTCGGGATTTTTAGGAGGCCATTTTTGCTCGGTTTCAAACCTATAATTTGATTGTTTTGAACGTAACGCCCGTCACCCCCCCCCCCCCGCCTCGCCCTGTGGGCAATTATCCGTAAGTTTACGCCCCTGGTTAATGTGGATCAGCATCCTGTGTGACAGGTGGTGGTATCGTCGAACTACATTATGAATCAATAATAGTGGTGTTACCTCATGGCGATGTGGAGCTGGGCCAAAGAATCACTGAAAGACACAGTGACATGAAGATATATAATATATATATATATATATATATAGCAAAACTGATGGCTTCAGCAAATATTTACTTTATAAACACCCCCCCCCCACACCCGTCAGACCAACACAACAAAACACCGCGCCACCTTGAGGGTGTGGTTTGTTGTTCTATGAAACCAGCGACGTGGTGCAGGGGTTTCTGGATCCCAAAGTGTATGGTTAATATTTAACTTGGAAAAAAAACAAAAAACAACAACATGATACGCGCATGCTTGACTGTGCGCTCCGAAATGTATGAACTATTTTGAGAATTCAGACAATTTTAGCTATTCCATATAGACCCGGTATCTACTATATATTCATATCAACTGATATGTCTGTTCCGTCAGCGTGTTTGAAAAAAATTTTTAAAAAATAGGATGTGTGTGTGTGTTGTAGTTGTTGTTGTTTTGGGGCGTAGGGCAAGGACACGTTCAACACTCATTTCCGACAATCGCTCCTCCTCATCAATTTAATGTAGGATTTATCAAGTGGTAGGTCAAGTACCCGTAAATAGATTACATGACGAAAATAGATCCATGCAGTGGTAGACTGGAAAATCCCGATGGGGCTGTTAATCACCGAGGGCCGCATAGGCCGTTCTGTCGGTGATATTTGGG